AGATTATTAAAACCATTGGCGTTATCGTCCAAACTTTTGCCTGTAGGCCAGGATACACGGGGTACAGCGAGTAGCACACCATGCTACTTCTAATCCTACAGTAGCGAAATTCAAACAGCAGCAAGCATGTACAAGAAAAACGTGACCAGAGGATAATCCATGGTAAAGCATATGTGGAGCTCTGTTTGATTTTGATACGCGAGTTTGTTTTTGTATTTTAAAGTATTCTTTGAGAGCCACGTTCATAATGACGATCTCTGCCTGTAAATAAGGGTTATTCAGAATTAAAACCACTGTTACACGATAAATGCAGATTAAACCAGTGGGGAGTTGTGGTTGCCCAATATGCAAACGTGCATTAAGCTCAAAAAAGCGGGATGTGAGCGAGGGTGATATATTGCAGGAATGGCTCTCCTCAAATCACCCTACGTAGATTACCGCGGGTAAAGTCGCCAGGAGCACTTACATGCAGTGAGCCACGATGGGCGTGTCCTTGTCGAGCCACTGTTGAGTAAGTCCCATGAGAGTCAGCATTCCTTGCAAGGAAGTGGGCGTGTCCTCATCGGAGGGCCAGTCTAAACACTCAAACTGGCAAACCGTACGGGGTTCCTCTGACTGAAACAAATAACGGAATACATTTTTAACAGAATACATTGTAGTATTGACAAAGTTGAATTATGTCCCGATGGCTGGAATGCACAAATCTTGATTAAAGGGCTGGCTTTGTGTTCTGTTCTTAGGCCAGTTGATTTATAATTTAATAAATCCCACTTTGGGTTTTAACGACAATGTAGTGAAGTAAAAGCCGGTTTGTACTTCAGGTTTGTACTTCAGGCCAACGCAAAAGCGAAGCGAATTTTACATCACGAAAAATTTCCAGCTGAATTTCGTTCGATTTGACAAATATTTAATATGACGTCACAAATATTACGTTCGTTTTTCGATTTCGAGTGAAGTATGAAACGACCCCAACCTGCAATGAAATGACTTCCCATTGAAAGAGAACGACATACTTTCAATTATTGTTTTGTACAAAAAGGTGTCAGAATAGTTTTTTATTGGTAAGAGACATTCCATATTCTGTGAATAATAAACATGTATGGTTTCAAAAATATTATAACTGACAACTGCTTTATAGCCTTGGAAGAAATCCGGATTGTCTTCTGCTTCGTTTACCGAGTCATCTTTGTTCCACAGGGTGAACGTCCGACCTGTTACGGAGTTATGCTCTTTTGTCTCCACTAGTTCAACAACAAGATGACCAAAATCAGTCACTGAGCCCTCAACCTCTGGCCAGTAGCGACACATGGTCTGTAATATACAAAACAAAAAGGTGAAACACCTGGATTATGTGCTGAGACAATAGTTGCTTATTTTGTATAAGTGTAAACATGTTCCGGTGTTGCAGTGTGGAAGACTTTTTTCAGCACTTCATTTTAATTGAAAACGCCAACGTCTAACACACACTACGTTACCTTCCTTTGAAAGGCAATTTTTCTACATCTGATAAAAACAACGAGACAATAGTACAGGAAAAAAATCATTTAACTTCCCCAGACTCAATACCGGGATATGCTACAACTGTCATAAATGCGGCAAAATACAATAAATATCAACGCTAAACTAGGGAGACCTGTATACAACGTTGCAAACAAAATTCGTTTTGGGTATCGTATGTAATTCATGTACACTTCAGATGGTTCTGCTTTCGTTAACGAACACGCTGGTGAGAATCTCTTCACATGGATTCCAAAATTCCGGCTTCGTTTCAGTCTTCAGCTTTGCCTGATTTTTACCTTACTGGCTTTCACACAGTTTGCCAACGAAGCAAATCGAATGTATGCTACTTACAGACCACACGAATGGAATACATTATTTTATTTCAAACATTCAAGGCCAACAAGTGGTCGGTTTAATAGGTAAATCCCTATACGGGGAATATACAGATGTCGGACACTCTCAATGGAATTGTGATTTACAAACATAAAAGTAAAATCCGTTAAGACGCATCTAAACAAGAGGTGTACAAAAAAAGGAAAAGAAAATTGACAACTTTTGTTAAAGATATATGTCGTTTATGTGCAGGTCTTCATTGAGGCCTAGGGCATCACAGAGGTCACTAATATTATGGAATCAAGAATATACACCAATCAATCAAGAATATACACCAAAACAACCCAAATATGTGAATTGTACCTGAATTGATGTAAATGAAACTAATTGTTTCAATGCCTAATTCTGAATCCACTGCGGTCAAATCTAGTGCAGTATATGATCAAATTGTGTAGGAAAATAGGCGTTAACATTACAATTAAATTCAAATTGATACATCGAAGCTCACCTCGTCGTGCGGATCCAGCGGGTTCAACATGACAATACAACCCACTTTGTAGTCATACACTAATCGCCAAATATCTGCTACAGTATTAGGCATAGGCATCTGCGTACTGATGTACATATTCTTCCTGCGGTAACCCTGTTCAGTGATATCCGGAAATTTAAAAAAAAAATCTTTCAAGTTACCATCAAAGCTCGCAGACCGACCTAGGGCTTTCGCAGCTTCAATTTGCATATAGTGACACATAACGCCACAAACAGGAGAATTAACCTGAGTCTTCACGCCCGACATAACACATTCTTTCCTTTTCGATTTCATTTCATGAAATTCATACTAATGCAAGTTTGAATCAGATAACTCTCGCAACTTGGAAAAGTCTACCGATGCGTTAGATTCAGTAGCTTGCCCAGCAATTCTGACCTTTAAGCTTTGGTTTTTATTTAGTATATGATATGAACAAGTATTTGTATTAGGTACTATTAAAAAAAATTTGGACTGAAAACCTGTTGTCACTATTTTACAGTCATTCACGAAAGCTACTTATGTACACACAAACATTTAATGTGCAAATGCACACTACTGCCTGGATAAAATAACCCAGCAAAACGGTGCTTTAACAAGAACCCCAGTTTAGCTGTACACATCCCAAGGGGTACCGTTTCCAACTGAACTCTACTGTACACTGAGGACACGGAGAAAAAGACTTCAGGTCCTTGGTTGACACGCCATCTGTCGGAAATCGTGTTCATACAAAATGATGGTATACTAAGAAAACAAATCGAAATCAATCAATAACGGTAGGCAAATCTGCCTACAATTTAGTCATTTATTGATACGAAGATACTGGTGAAAGTAAGAGCAGTTAAGGAAGACAATTCTCACCCTTATCATAAGACATGCATTCTTAATACACAGCTCTGTTGCCCTGCTACACGAATATTTGATGAATAATATCATGCAGTGTATAATTCTTGTTAATTGTTTAAAATTGATAATGTTGCTATTTTAAAAACTTCCTTTTTTCTAAAATTTGATATTGTAAATAATGGTAAAATAATTTTAAGTAGAAAGGTTTCTATTTTAAACTGGACTAATAGAGAATTAATCAATCAGTCAAAATAATGAGTGACCTCAGTGTAACTTAAAAACATACGGAATTTTTTTTCGAACTTACACTCTTGAGGGAGTAAACTTCAAAGGCCATCCGACATATACTTAATATGATTTGGAAAGAGACGTTCCAATTTTTTTCTTTCAGAGTTACAGAGACAACACTTAGCGATATTGGAAGGGTACCTACCGGTAGGAAGGTTGCATTGATGTAGTTGGTTTCATTTGCGTACATTCTTGGCATCAGAAACACCCGGGAACTGTCGACTACGGAGATTATATGATTAAAAAGGATATTGCTTTAATGCAGGTTTTTAAATTTCAGCTTACGAAAAGGAGAAAGGCAAAAGCATTATAGATTCTAAGAAGTGCATCGGGATGTGTATGAATCAAATAAACCCTGAAGCATTTTAGAAGCACAATGGCCAAATTATAAACAGCTGCGACACAGTAAACGTCTTTGGGACGCATTACCGCATTTAAAGAGTCGAACTTGCAAACTTGTGTAACATCTGAACAACTTGAATTACTAGTGACATATTTCAGATAAAGAAGCAAAACATTTTACAGACTTGCAGGGAAATCCGGAAATCGGTTCTTCTTGACATTCTCAGGACGCAGTCCAGCTTGGGTCGTTTTTGTTTCCCTACTCCGTTGCATCGCCATAACCTTACTCAGGGCCTATAATAATGGAAAAGACAGGGTTACTTGAAACAGATAGTAGAATCGGCCAAGTATCTTTGCATTGAAATATCTCGATTAAAAATGCTTCAAAAAATGGTCACGATTCTAAATTTTAATACAGATGTGGTACCTCAAAATGCCTCCAGTGATGTCATTAATCAACTGAAGGGATAAGGGCTTCATTTGGTTTTCTTTTGGATCAGGAATTTTCACCCGACCTTTTTAGTCTAAAGTAAAATCGCTCCCTAGAGTACCAAAGACCCCAGTGAAATTACTCAGTTGGCAACGTAGCTATTGTGATCACCATACTTTGTGACTTTTTTCATTTTTCACGTTATTCGAGACGGCAAAGAACTAAGATATAGACACTTGCTACTGCATGTGTTAATCTATATGTCTAATGTGAGTTTACCTCGTATTGCCTCTCTAAACCCGTTTCCTCTGCGCCCTTTTCCTTGCCTTTTAGAGCTGTTAGTTGCTTACGGAAGTCGATGATGTCATACGCTGTGTGACCAATCACAGAGGATGCTAGCAGACCGTCGAAAACAAAGCGGTACTGCTCCTAAATTCAAGACAATACGAAAATGCTCAAATCTTGTGAACAGGAATGGAAAAACAACGTAATACGTAACTCAACGATTACTTGATTTTCTCGGTATCACTTGAATGTTTCTGTTTGTCTAGTGTGTTAAAGATGTAGTTGAAACATTAATGCATTGGGCATTACTGCATCATGTCAATCACTGTCGGGCAAGTTGGGAAATAACTGGAACTGAACTGTCTTTTACATTCAATCATACAAACTGCATCATAACTTACAGGAGTTTGCACCATTTTATTTCGTTTTTGTCTCATTCGATAGATGAAGCCAAGCACATCAACTCGTCCCTCCTGCTTCATTTGATCTAGCATGGAGTCCAGGGCGATGTATGTCCCTGTTCGACCGATACCAGCACTAAAGGTATAACAGATTTTAAAGAAATACTTCATTTGATGAATAAAGTAAGTCATTTGTAAACTGCCAAATTAAATAAAATACTAAAAAATACTAGAGACGCCTATCCGTAATCCTTCGTATGCTGCATCATGAGTCTTACAGTAAGTGCCTTTAGGACCCATTTCGAGGGCTTAGCGCATCAGGAACATATCATTCTAAGAAAATTGGCATATGGGTATAGCCTACATGATCCTCCCTACCTGCAGTGGATAACAGTTCGGCCCTTGTTGTGCTCTTTGTTCACAACGCGCATGAAGTTGAGCAAAGTAGTCGGGTACTTTGGGGGTTCCATGTCCGGCCAGGTTTTGAAATGAAACTGCTTCACTACACGGCTTCCTTTCTTGTTAATTACCTGCAAAATGTAACATAGGCCTATATTCAGCGGGATTCAACACTTGGTATATTATAATCATTTAATAGGCATTATGATTCCTTAATGGAAGGCTCGAAATAAATACCAATAAAACATGGAAGCAGATTAACATAGTGTCGTTGGCACAAAAAAAGGAGCAAAATACGATCGCTCTAGTTGGCTCGCATGCATTAAACAGTACCATTCCCGGTGGCATCTTTGCATTTTGTTTTAGTCAGTCTCTCCTCTAAAAACAGAAGAGTCAGATTTGAGAGATTTGAAATTGCTGCCCACATTTGTGGTGTTGAACTTTGTATTTGCTTTCACAACTTTGTTTTCGACATAGATAACCCTGGCTTATTAGCATGGCAGTATATAACACACAACGATATCCGTATTAAAAGCCTCGTTTATCAAAGCCTCGTTTATCAACGTTTATCAAGTGTGAAGTCGGTGAATTGTGCCCTTGTTCTTTTGTTAAAGTGAGCAGACATGAGAACTCATGCTATACCTAGTATTTTTCCGCCAGTTAAACAGGGCTGATTTTCTTCTATAGAAAAGCAAAAAAGATCCGTACCTTGTTTAACTCGAAAACTCGAACTGTGTACTCCAGGAAGGAATCTTCTTCTAGGAGGGTTACTGTGATGTCAGAGAAGGTTGTAAATCCCGAATTTGGCCAATACTGCTGACATTTGATCTAAACAGGAAAAGCAAATCGGAATAAATATCACAAAAATCATCTGCATCATAAATCATAAATCTTTGAGCCCTTGCTACCAAAATCAAAAACTGTTTTTTGAACGGCGATCTTTTCTTGAGAAGATGGCATGAAGAACTGACATAAATGGCCTAACGTATCTGTCGGTCAATTTCTTCATAGATAAAATATTCAAATGTTAAAAATATTAAAAGCACTTTTATACAGACAATAAATTACAAATACTACATAAGTATAAATGCAGACAACAGTAGTTCTGGGTCGCAAACCTTTCCCAGACTTTCTAGCAGAATACTTAAAAGCGTTCTGTAGGTTGCTTACTAAAGAGGTTAAGTGACTTGCCATACATACACTACCTTGCCATTTTCCACTGGGTTGGTAAGCATGATTATCTTATCCACGTCATACTGCCACACCATACGCCATATGTCTGCTAAAGATCCTTTGTTTGGTCCTAAGAGTACAGATTTCAGAAAGTTCAGTTAGAAATCTTTTGGCCAGGAATGAACCGAAAGAAAAGTGGGTTTAAGAGTTAAAAAACAATCCAATTAATGTATTTAACATTCCTAAATCGTATTAATTTTCAGAATGATTTCCTTGAGATTGAAATTAAAGACGTTTCATAACTGTCACAGTCATTGGATGCAAATTGCTGTAATTTGTTTGGTAGATCTTGTATAAGTAGACTAATGCAAACTGAGATACCTTGGCTTGCTATGTACTTGTCTTTCATCTGATACCCCTGAAGAGAAAAAAATACTTCTTAAGAAACAGAAGACTATCGTTGGTAAAATTTACGAATCAACAATTTCATCCTTTTACAGATACACAGTCGACTAATATAAACACCGGCGTGGCCAAGGCGCACGCCCCCCCCCATGAAAATCGTTTTCCCCACCTTTTTTTATATTTCCTGATGTGATCACGATTATGTAGTCAACCCCCCCCCCTGAAGACCCCGCTCCCCCCGCCCCGTGCTCAGAATCCTGGCTACGTCGCTGAATATAAATGAGATGAAAACAAGATATTGGGGAAATGGTTCAGTGACTTACGTCAATGTAGCAGGCATTGATGTAATCGGAGTGAGGCTCATTTTCCAAGGGCTCCAACACAACTCGAGAATGGTCATCTACATACAAGAGGCAATTAGGTGACAAACATGTTGAAATATACACCGTGCTAATCTGCGTCGGGCATAGAATACTTAACTCACAAGGGTAGTTTATATTTGACTTTTAAACACTGTGACTGACAAGTGCGTAGAGTATTATATTAAATTGTAGTGGTTGTGCAAATGCCTGATCTCATCAGGATTTACGGTTTCGCGAGCAGATTAGGACATAAAGCTTCCTGATATTTAATGCTAAAAGGACCCCCTGGCCGGCACCAAGCCAAAAATTTCTATAAAAACAAACGAGGATTGGAGGATTGAAGTAGGCTGGAGTGATAACCTCTCAAATAAACAGGAAACAATAGCAATCATAACGTTCACCTTTCATAGTAGAGGTATGTTTCAACCACAGCGACAGTGTGACATGACTTTATTGTTCATTCATCGAATTGGCAAAAACAAGTCACTGATAAAACCTGATTACACAAGAATTAATTTCCCTATTTGAGCAAGTGATTAGGAATGTTGTTGATGTTCTTGAAACGCCATATACACAACACAAGAACCCTAAAGTTAACGATAATATTAATGTGTATTTATTAAGGAAACATCACTAAGTCTATCCACCAAAGCTAATAAATCTCTAATAGGTGTTCCAACAGCATTAAGACGGCTTTGTTGACTTCTACTGTGCCTGGAAGAGCCGCTGCCAGGGGTTCGGCAATACATGTGGTGTGTTCTGGCGCTCATGGAAGATACATGTATAGGTGTATGAATTCCTTTTATATAGCCCTACACCAGTTTTTTAAATTGTTTTTGGAGCGGCTTATCCGTCTCTGAACCACATGACCCATCTCAGGTTCTATCATTTTACTCCTGCCCGTCATGAGGGCAGTTCCATAACCATTTGGGGGCAGAAGCCCGATGTGGTCGAAAGTTTGGAAATTTCTATAATTACGAAAATCTTTTATGGCCATTCTATAGGTTCCCTGTACTATTGGTATTTTGGAAAGCCAGTTATACATTTGACAACGAATGAGTTTCCATCTTGTGTCACGTAAAATGTTGCACAGCATATATCGGTTTCATTTGTCTACACAAATAGGTCCTGACGGAAGCTACCCATGGTACCTTGGCATCTTCTGCTCTTACCTCACACATGAAAGGACTATCGCACAAGGCGGTCAGAAGCACCCTACGAAAGTGGGTTGAAAACTTAAAAATCCATGCAATCCATGACAGTGTTCCCATTTCATTTTCAAAAACTTTGAGCAAGCTTCACTGTCAGTGAATGGTATCGATTTATTAAACAATTACACGAAGTGTCATTAGGGGATAAACCTTGTGAATCCTTTTGGTAAGGTTATGTTAGAAGACAGTTTAGTAGATTTTGTAATACAACTGTACATACAGGCAAGGACGTTGGCATATCTGTTTTTGGTCTTGTTCTCTGGTTTAGACGCCACCGTCGCTGGGTGTAGCACACCGCTAGGAAGAGTCTTGAATAATCAGAGAAAAAAAACACTTAGTAAGGCTAAGAATCGCCCCAGCATTTCAAGCTTTTTCGTGAAGGTGTAAATTGTAATTTTTGCACATTATCCTTATAGACTCAACAAACTGTTTGTGTCAAACTTGTGTAAATTAATCATGTAAATTAAATCAATTCGACAGAAAGGTTTACCAGTACCTAAATACAAAAATATGAATATAAATAGTAATAAAAAACAATAGCAATAAAGTGATTTGTCAAAAATGTGTCCTTTTAAGTGCAATAAGGGTACCCATAGAAAGAGGATTAAATTTATTATATTATATCTATTGATATTTTTTGCTCTTACCTTGAAGTCCATGGGGAATCCGTTCTTGCCTGCCTTGTCTTTGCGTTGGATGTATTCTGCTAGCTCTTCTTCACATACCACGGGCAGCTCAACGTAGGGCAATTCTTCATCTACTTCATCTACTGCCGGTTGCCTGACGTCTTCACGAGACGCGCCAGCAAGACGAGGTGACGAGTCTGGGGTTTGCTTGACTGATGGTGGCAGCTGCGGACACACGTCCATCACACTGTCGTTAACATAGGAATTCGGAGGTGTTTTCCGCTCTGTTAAGACAAAAACAACAACCATAATGCACTTAGGGTATGGGAAATACACGTTTATAGATTTAATTAAAAGAAAGGTCCTACGACCAAAAAAAACCAAAATACAAACAAACCAACAAAACAACCCAACAAACAAAAACAATATACAGTAAACGATGGAAATCTGCTATGGTAATTAAGACATTTAATTATCATATACTTAAACTTGACTTTTGCCTTCCAAAGAACAATAATCTTCAGCATGAAGCATTGTGATCCATACACGAACTGAAGACGATCGGTGGCTCTCCGTTGGTCTATTGAACATTTTAGAGAAATCCCTAAGGGCGTCTTCGAACAAGATTATAGAGTGATTATAGAGAGAGTAGAGACCTTAAATTTAGACTTGTGAATTTTTGTAAGTTTATTCAGAAAGATCAACATTTATATGCTCAAACCTGTTAGCAAGTAATACTGGAATAAAACAGCTTACTTGGTACGAAATGAACGTCCTTTCTTCCCGGATCTCCATTCACAACGCCAGGTTGATTCGTTTTCTGAGTTCTTCTACATTTTATTTCAAACGAAAAAGAAACCGTATGAAAGTCGCAAGTATTTGTGAGTTCCTAATAAAACTTTTCATCATATTGTCGCAGATTCTTCTATAATGTCTCTCCTGAAATTAAGTCAACAAATTGCCAAATTAATTCCACGGCTCCATTTTTCTTCGATTTACGGAATTATTACTTTTATTGGAGATACGTTTATGCAGACAATTGTGAAATCAGTTCTGCGCAAAACATACTGCCGAAATGTGCTTTAACTTCTCTGAAAAGGGCGTATTTTCAGATTAAAGCGGTACCATGTGAATTTTTAACCCTTTTTTACAGAAGAGCTGCATTATCAACGACAGAGGCTATTGGGTAGGACATCTTGCTCATAAACTGGAGCAGGATGAATTGGTCCACTTTCACTTAGAAACAGAGGGAGTTTATTTAGTGAATTCACAGACATCATCCGGAAAGTTAGCAAAATTTTCTATTCCATAAAGAAACAAATTTAATTTGGTACAGCCAATTTGTAAGTAAAGTGTTCGATTCTGATTTACCTTTTATAGAGCACACCGGCGACAATAATCAAGAGGATCAGGATCAAAACAGCCGCTACAACTCCTCCAATGACCGATGATGAACTATTCCAGGGATCTAAATTGTGTAGTTGAAACATTTAAGTTTGAATCCTGTGATTAGCCGATGAGTAGTCCTACGGCAAACTTTTTTTTCCAATCGAATGGGGATTAACATTTATAATTAGCATTTGTGTGTTCTTTGGCGTAAATTGGCGAAAACTAGCACAGGGGATGAACCAGTACAAAGAAAGAAAAGGCATCTCAACTGAATGGGTAATCACCTTCCAAGGTTGTTTTCACTTCGCTCACTTCACTGTACGGTCCGGCTCCCACAGTAGTATTGGCAGCAACCTGAAAACTGTACTCAGTCAGCGGCGTTAAACCTTCGATTAGTACCGATTCCTCTGATGTCACTGATTGAATGACTACTTGGGATTCCGGGCTTACTTCAGTTAGTTTGTACGTGTAGCCCGTGATGATGCCACCTCGGCTTCCACAAGGTGGCTTACTCCAGGAGAAACTCAGACTGTATGGTGTTGCTGAGGTGAAATTTACTTCAGTTGGGGCTCTAGTTGGCTCTTTGAGGTATAAGAGTGGAAAATAATAGAAACGATGTGGCTTCACTGACTGAGATTTTTGCTATGGGCATTGTGTTGTTGCATTTATTATCCTCATCGTCGGTATTGTTACAGTTGTTGCTAATTGGGGGATCTATTGGTCGTGATGAAGTTGAAAAGCCAATCAGTTAAAAATACCGTGAATTCAGGATATTTAGTTTACCGTTTTTATCGCTTTTATCAAGCTCCGATCAACTCATGCCTGGAACAATCCAAACATACAAGTGAATTTATTTCACATTCACACAGGTGAATTGCATATCGACTATTCAAAACAATTTTTCATGAAATAATTTTACAGAGAGAGATTTGGGTGTTTTGAGAATTTTTGGCATTTTTCCAGTTGCAAATGATAAACAACCCGTCAGAAGTTTTTGCTTCAAGAAGATCTTTCCAAATTATTATAGCTTAGTCAGATCGAATAATCAATTATTCGACTTAATTTTGATCGAATATGAAAAGAGTTATTCGGCTTTTTAAAAAATTTTAATAAGACAAGACTCTAAAGGGAAGTAACTAATTGATACACTAACTAAAATTAATTATGATTATAAAGGTTAACAAAGAAATTGACTGGAGCGGGTCTTGAACCTGCGGTTTCTGGAACGCCATACCAGTGCTCTACCAACTGAACTATCCAGAGATATTGACAAAAGGGAAGAGCCACCTACATAGGGCTGGATAGCTCAGTTGGTAGACCACTGGTACCGTATTCCAGAGGCCGCAGGTTCAAATCCCGCTCCAGTCAATTTCTTTGTTTATCTTTATAATCATTCATAAGCACCTAGTTAGTTTCCCTATATGATTTGTTTCACGATTAAAATTAATTGTAATATTTGTCAGCCAAACATTAGTTCCTACAGCACAAACCCACCAGTTATTTGTGGAATGGCCACCTCAGGTCCTTGTTCATCACCCTCGTACACTGGCCGTATGTAAACCCTATGGCTTAGAGGTAGTGATTTCAGGCCAGTTACGAAATAGTAAGCAGCTTCCCGAATCGACTCCTCTGACACGATTTCTTCACACTCGTCCCTGGTAGTCAAGTCGTAGCCAGAGGCGCATGGATCTGGTTGCCACGCAACGAACAGTTGATGAGGGTCGCCTGACGTCACTTCAAGCCCAAGCACGCCATTTTGAACTGTAAGTATTGTTTTAATGGTTTGAAATGTAAGTACAATAGAGGAGAGTCTTTAAGTTAAAATATGCCATTCTCCTGTATTAAGTTTCAAAGTATTGCCTATGTTGCATCGGACTCATGTTACGCGACTGTTACAGAGAGTTGGAAATAATGAATCTGGGTTGATTGTTATGAGAAGATTCGGGCAAAAGCGGTGAGAGTGATAATAAAATAATGCTAACGTTTTACGTCAGTAGTTTCGGTTGATTTTTTTTAAACATTTATAATGAAATGCCTGTCTACTTAGAATAGCTTTGTGCTTGCTGATCTCTCAAGAAAGAACTCGACTTATGCTCTCGTACGCAGCTTGGGTAGTAGTCACGTCCATTCTTCTGAGCTGGTCTTAAACTAATGTCCAGCGTAATTATTTTTATTCCCACTCATAAACACCGTTTGAGTTAGAAAGTCAAAGTACGTTCTAAGATTACACATTTCCAACAATTCTGCTGAACAATTTCCCTCATTTTCCGATAACACCTCTAGCCATGTTGTGATACATATGTATTCCTCTCTGAAGAGGTTGTAAAAGGTCTCCTTAAGGCGGATTTCTGCACTCAAGTCAAAATTTGCGTCAAGCGTTGCGTATCCGTCAAAATCGCTCCCGGAGCGAGTGTTATGTTAATGGAGTCGATTTTTGAGTCCGTAAAAGTGAAACGCATAAACACATCGTATACGGCAACGCACACCAAAAACGTACATATGGCAAGCCGCCTTTATAATGTGTAAATTAGCGCACACGTGTTGCGTACTGCCAGTTGACAAACAGCGTGCCGGTGTCTTATCAACCGTTTAAGACACGCTACGTGACGTGCCGCCGACCAATAGGAATGGTTTTACTTTCTTGGGCATTTACGTATTTCAAGTTTATCACTCTTACTTGAACACTGGCAATTTCTTCCAAAATATGTCGCCTCACAACCTGCACATAGAAAAACAAAACATCAATTCAAAATTTAATCTCTGTCAAGCTCTTCGGGCCAGGTATGGTTGTAACAACACTAAACCATCAGCACCATTGAGACAGCGTGTGTGTACTCTGTAATTTGTTTTCATTATAAAAAGGAATAAAATATCAAATGAAACTAGATAAAAGATATTCACGGGTATTAGTCTACAGGAAGGACCAGATATTCAGGGATATAGTCTACGGGTATTCATGGGTATTAGTCTACAGATAGCACCGGATATTCATGGGTATTAGTATACAGGACCGGGTATCCGTATTGGTCTACAGGTAGGACCAAAATATTCAACGGTATCAGTCTTCAGGTAGAACTGAGTATTCATGGGTAGGACCTGGTAATATTCAAAGGTATTAGTCTACAGATAGGAACGGGTATTCATGAGGATTAGTCTACAAGTAGGTCCAAGTATTCATGCTGGTCTACAGATAGGATGGGGTATTCATAGGTGTTAGTCTACAGGTAGGACCGGGTATTCATGGGTATTACTCTACAGGTAGGACGGGGTATTCATGGGTGTTAGTCTACAAGTAGGACTGGGAATTCATATTGGTCTACCAGTAGGATGGGGTATTCAAGGGTATTAGTCTACAGGTAGGACGGGGTATTCATGGGTATTAGTCTACAAGTAGGACTGGGAATTCATATTGGTCTACCAGTAGGATGGGGTATTCAAGGGTATTAGTCTACAGGTAGGACGGGGTATTCATGGGTGTTAGTCTACAAGTAGGGCTGGGAATTCATATTGGTCTACCAGTAGGATGGGGTATTCAAGGGTATTAGTCTACAGGTGGATTCACTCACCCATGCTGCATTCTCCTGTATCTTTACGGCACGTCCCTCCTGATGCACAGTGACAAGTCTGTTTGCAATCTGCACCAAACGTCCCTTCTTCACAATCTTTGTGCAAAAATAAGTTACTGGAGTGAGTGACAACTAATGACGAAATAACTTCCCAAATTTGTGCAAAGTTTGAATTATATTGGATAGCTTTGGATGGGATAAAAGAATACAGCTGTAAGAGCTGTTGTAATGTTGCAGGAGTCTCAGATGGGTGGAATTATTTGTAAAATACCCGGCAATGCCTGTGATATTGTATTAAGTTACATATTTGTAATTGGTAGAACCACTTCTTCCTGTTAAAGCAACAAAAATGTGAAATTTTTACCTTGCATACAGTCTAATCCTTTGTAACCTGCAGCACATGAGCATCCATAAGGGTCTGGTAGACAGAACAAACGCCCTCGGCAAGCATCGTTGTGTGTATCAGTGCTATTGGAGCATTGCTGATCAGCAGTTTTACCAAACACATGACGACCATGAACTAAGATAACCATAAAGTTTAAATCCCCATCGGTTTTTGTCTTCTTAGCTTCACATTAACTTGATTGGTAGGCCTAATATAAGTACAATGTGATTCCCCAATGCAGGAGGCTGACATTTTATGATCTTTCAAGAACGATGAGACTAAATTTTGGGGCTTCACAGGCTCTGGAGGAAAGGGAAACGTACAAAGTCCTTGTTGCCCCTCTTCCTTAAAGACAACTTTGAATAACACCTGGGAGTGAGCATTAAGTGAGAAAAAGAATGCGATCGCAAATGCCAAGCCCTAACAGCGTTATGGTGTACTGTGTACGACACACATTTCGGCCTCTCTCCAGACGAGGCAACTTCACGACGCAACGGCACGACGGCTCCCTTAGATGGTGTCATCGCGTCCCACCGTCGCCTCCTTGCCATTATGTTTGTACACACACGACGCAACCGGTCGTGTGCTGTGCCCCGTGCTTCATATTGTTTGTAGAGGGCGCCTTTACTCTTTTCTGTCATTTCTGTCCCCGGTGCTTGCTAAGTACATGCTATAGGTAGCAGGCCTAATCTGTTGTTCTTTTTCATGCATTCTTTCTGTGTATTTTCATTAAGAGTATTTTTTAAAACGGTTTTTATGTTATTCTTTTATCTGTTTTGTTTTGTTTTTAAGTTAAATGTAATTAGAACGTGCGTCGCGTCGAACTATCGGCATTGTCTCCAGGGAATACAAAACATTAACGTCAGCCAGAGCAGTGTTTCACTTTCTCCCAATCTAATTCTGATCCTTCAAGTAATTATTTGTAAATTTATTCCAAGATACAACACACCAATCATTATTACGTGTTGCAGAAGAGAAATTGTTTGTGTGGCAAAACAGAGTCGAAGAAAACTCATTGTCATAATGATAATAGGGTCTACAGTGTTTTGTTGAGAAACACGGGCAACTATCATTGAAAATGTGTGCTGATTACTGAAGGAGGACCGAAGGACTACTTGGAAACTGTCGGGACGAACCACAGAAAAAAATTTATGGGATTACAACTCTACCACAAATTGGAACTTTATCAACAGTCTTAATTAAACAGAAGGTAGACAGAAATTGGAATATGGATCAGCCGAGTAATTGAGGAGTGACGAATTCTACTGGGGCTTACACTTATGTAAGAGCAGTTCCTACATACGCGGATTTTCTACTTTTTTTCCCATTTTTTAAATAAAAAATGGCAGAAACTGTTTCAAAGTTAAGAATTGATGGAAAAAAAATCACCGCCGGCCGCTCATGGCACGTATTTTGCAAGTGCAGAGGACGGAAATGGAAGAAAACAGTAAAGGCGCCCTCTACAAACACAATGAAGGGAAGCGCGACAGCACACAACGCGTCGGGACGTTCATGACGTCGTGGTTCAGGAGACATAATACGCGGCGCGAATATGACACGACGATGCGGCGGGCTCGTACAAATGTAATTGCAAGAAGGCGACGATACGACGCGACGGCACGACACAAGGGAGCAGTCATGTCATGGCGTCGTGTAGTTGCTTTGCCTTGGAAGAGGCTAGAGAGAGGCAGAAATGGGTGTCGTAAATAGTAAATCATACAGCGTGGAGTTCGGGACCTGCTTAAAAATACCTTTGGGTTCTAGACGCCTTGTAGTTTCATCTAAAACAATATGTAACTATTTCTATTTTTTTTTGATAAACAGATCATAATTTCTCTGAGCTATGAAATCAAACATTTCCTAAACCTACATTTCAATTTTTTTATAAATTGATATTTTTTAGCTTGAGAAATCTTGTTTGGGCACGAGAGCGTGAGGAGCATAACCTTAAATGTAAGGGTCTCACACTCAGTGCGTGAGAGTTGACCGGAAGTCCTGGCTACGTCCCATCTTCTCAGGCGCGGATCCAGGGGCGTTTGGGGATAATTAAAATAACTAATGTAATGAGTCATCATCTTTTATACTTGTCTGCAACAAAGTGAGACATTAAAAAATCTCTGGCCCCACACATTCCCTGGAAAACTTCCTGGATTCGCCCCTGCTTCCCCTCATTCTATGTGTGCTGTAATGACACTATGTTGTAAGTTTGTATAAATGGTGTAAGTTAACCCATAAGACTAAGGGTATTATAATTAAGTGTGGTGACCAAAATTAATAATAAATTATTCATATATACTTTTTTACATTACTGAAACCCTCAACTTTGCGAACTTTTTTTTTAATTCTTTCTTTTTTGTCAATGCATGTGATCTTGAAATGCAACCGTCAGTTAGTTGCTGTCGGCAGTTCAGAGAACTCTCGGACTGCATCCGAATCCGTTGTCCATAGCTATAGGTCTAGGTCTTTACTCCGTCGGAAATACGTGGAGGCGCGCAGACAATAGACTTAGCCGTAGCCCTGTCCGTTTCAGATACGGCTTTATGTTTAGTTTACCTTGCTCGCAATTATCTCCGCTAAATCCAGGAGGGCACACGCAGGCACCAGACTTGTCATCACATACACCGCCATTGTAGCATCGACGGCAGGTTTTCAGACACGAGGAAGGGTTCCACATTCCTTCAGCACATTCTGAAAAAGTAAAGATGCATTTAGAGTAGGCCTATCGATACGGAAATGTGCTAATTAAAAACCAAATATTATTACTGTTAATTTTGCATGCTATTGGAGAGTCAAGACCGGGAAATGAGGAAATAGAATGCCAAATTTTCTTGCTCCGTTGTTCTGAATATGGTGTTTATTTATCAAAATATAGATAAAACAGCAAAAGAAGTCGTTTGTGGAAAACGGTGACAGGCAGATGATAATCATGAATTAAAACGAAACAGCAAAAACATCAATTTGCTTCCGGGTATTATGTGGTATTCCAAGTCCAAAAATGACCCAAATTGTATATTAAAACACCAAAACACTGAAAAATAACAGACGTCCGTGATAGAAAAAGTTAATGCTGCAAAAAGATGAAAATTGGAAAAAAATAAGAAAAGATCGAAGAGTAAGCAAGTCAAATGCACACGACGAAACAGCGCGCAGACGAAAATACGTTAAAACACAGGTGCTTCTTTTGTAATTCCAAGGCAAGAAATGAAAATTGAAGGTTTATTTGATAAAGTGACAAGACTAAAGTGGCATTCATAAAGGAAAAATTAATCTACCTTGTTTTAAATGTGACCGAACTCATTGAGTGCCCCCTTTAAACGTTCCTGGTGTTCACGTTTCCGGTTACAGTTAGGCATTAAAGAGCTTCTCAAATTGGCACATGTAGCACTGCATGTAAAGAACTGACCAGGGAATACATACCTCGGACAATAAGTCTCATGATCCCATGTAGTTGTTCATCCTCTTGATCTAATGAGAAGCAGCTGTATACCCCTTCATGGTCCTTGGTTACATCAGGAATCGATACACTCAAGAGGTTGTTCCAAGATTCCATAATTTCACCACCATTCTGCGTCCACCTGTACTCTCTGTTTGGGGGGAATACTTCCCGCATCTCTAACTTTACGCAGTCTCCGATATTTGCACTTAGTGTGAGCTGGATGGGACGTATATGAACGCGGCTCACTGAAAAGATACCAGGAACAACTGTCAACTGATGTTATTACACAATTGCGACAAAAGGGACGGCATCCAGTAATTTCTATGAAAAATGGAGAAAGTAATTTAAATTAAAGATAAGCTTACCAATATATTATTTCGTTGTCACGAGTAACGATGATGAAATTAGTGTCAACAGGCTAATTTGCTGAGAAAAAGTAGCCAATTCATGCCTGGTAATGAGCAACTAAGAGCATTTGTTCACACAAATATTAATTATCTAACCATCCTTCGGTAGAATAACAGTCTGTATCCTGGTAGTCACGTGATTCTTGGTCACCTCTGCGTAGAACACACCCGTCCTGTCCAGACCTCCTTCCTCTGGTAACTGAAGCAATCTCACTGTACATCCCAACGATGGGTCCACTATCTCGCCTGAACCTGACGGAAGTCCAGGTACACCTCCAGTTGTGACTTGGCGACCGAATGAGAGATTAGATGCAATATCCTGACGATCTCTGAAGACTTCGATGACTGAATCGTTGTCTCCAGTTAGACCAAGCAAAGGAGGGTTGACAACCACAGTGAAATCCACTCTGCTAACTGTAACCAGAAATATAGAGATTCATTAACTCCTTTCAATCAGAAATATTTCTTAGTATTGTTTACTTTATGTTATATTAGATTTTCAAAGATCCGCAGTTAGAATCTTTTCCTTTAAGTGTCATATTCCAAATTGCCATTTGTTTGAAAGAACTCCATCAAAAGTATACATTTGGACAGTTCTATTCAATGTAAACTGCTTCTCAAATTACTGTTGGAAAGAATAAGAGAACATTTTATTTCAAAATTGCAATTTGATTTATTTGAAATTCAGAGCAATAGGGCTATCTCACTACAAGAATGAATTTGCGATTGACTTTCCTCCGAAAAATTGCCTTTGAGAGCATGCTCTGTCCTTGCTTTGGACAGAGGGCATAATCTCTAAATCGTAAAGAAACAATGCTTTCTGGAAACTAACTTTTCTTTTAATACAGAAAAGATGAACGTGCAATTCATTCCTTCGTATGGCAACAAGCAAAGATTAATATCTGATCTTGATTTACTCACCAGGGGTGTTAACAATTTGTGCAATTAAAATTTCTTTTAAAAACCTCACCAAGAAATTTACCATCGTTCTGTAATTTGCATGTAGCAACAGTCACCTCGCACAGTCCAAGGCTCGCTTCACCGGGTATATCGACGCTGACGTACCGGGCAAGTACGGGCGGATTACAGGTAAACTCTATGTACGCTGCTCTTTGGTTTTGGCTGACTGAAGATTTACAAGCGACATTTCTGGTGTGATTATCGTTGAGGCCAGCTCGTACAGAAGCATCTTGGAAATTCGAGCCTGTATTTAGAGGTTTGAATTTCAACATTTGATTTTGGCCTGTATTGTCAGTACAAGCATACCTTCTTGTCTGCTGATTAATACAGTAAACAGGCCTAACTTGAAGAGCTCAATACTTTCTCCTTCTTTTTTCCTCTTTGTTTGGCGGTAAAGTGTGGAAATGCTCTGCGTTCTCACTACATCGAAATGAAGAAAGTTTTTCGTGTAAAACTATATGCAGAAAGGGAGGGAAAACAGAAATGAAACTGGAAGGTATTATAGATTTTATCATCAGATTTTAGTTCGTCTCTGTATCTATAATTAAACAAAAGGCTAATCTTACCCTGTGCAGAAGTCCAAACTCTGATAGTTTGAATGCAATGCCTTGATTCGAGGTCTACTCGCCACCAAGGGTTCATTTGTGTTTCTGAAATTTAAGAAAAATCAGCAAGTAGTTTAACGTTTTGGTCAAACAATTATTAATGACACACGTTCTAAAGTTCATTTGTAGACGCTGTTTCCTATAAAGAGTCCCAATTTAAAACGAGAAAGACTATGTTATAAAGTAATGTCATTTGTAAATGGTTCCTTCTGGGTGCTTTGAAAGTCACAGGTAAACACTTAATTAACTTGTAAACAAGATGTAACGAAATAGAGTTCGATTTCTTCCCCAGTGTTACTTTTAATTGAAAATCTGAGAACTTAACTGAGAGTAACGCAACCATTTTCCGTGCAATTCAAGCAACAAATCTTTTTCTGAAGACCAAAATAGTATGTCCATCAACTTACTTGTGAGACTACAATAAGGTTCAGATGGAAGACTGTCCAAAGCTAGTCCAGCAATAGATCTTCCTTCTGTTGAGCTTTGATTACCAGGTTTATCAGTCAAAATCAGAGCTACATAAAAACCAATAAATCAATGCAGAAAGAGGAATGAGACATGGGAATTAAAACATGGGGACATTAAGATCAGGTATGATTTCCTCATTTCTACAAGGTTCTCGCCCTACTCCGAAGCAGTGATGCATATACCCTATACAACCTGTTAAACTGGTGTAATTTAAAATATCACATATCTGGTATTTGTCTTTGCAGAAAAACGTACGCATCATATAAATAAGTTGGACAAACATTACATAATCAGTCGGGCATTATCGTGAAGTAATTAGAAGTCATTTCAAATTTGTTATCTTGTTCAACCTATGCATTTTACCTGCTGGATGGAGATCACACGGCCAAACTTTAACCTCACAAAGTATAAGAGCCTTGGAATCTCCTGGAATATTGATTCTCACGAACTGTGCCAGTCTGGACTGATCGCAGGTGAATTCAATCCAGTCATTGATCAATGCTTGGTACTGGGTCACTGAAGATCCACACCTGTCCTCATCAGTAGGCGTCTCACTTACGCCAGCACTTACAATGGCCCCCTGTAAGCTTAATCTCGTTCTCTCTGGAAGGCAAGTTGGACAATCCTGTTGAGTACAAGCTTGAGGATCTGAAATTCTGAATTCCAAATATCGTTTTGTTACTCTGACTTTTGACGCTTGAGCATGCATGAAAATGAATAGGACAATTTGAATAAAGTGTATTTGAAGATATGTTAATTAGTCTAATGCGAAAAGATAAGATGATTCCAGAAATTGTGAGCAACGATTTCCCATGCTCTTATTTATTAAACCATTCAAACACATGGTGACAGTCTTAAAACTGTAAATAAATTATCCCCCTTTAGCCAGAGCGGGAGGCTACAAGCAAATAAACCCGTGTCTTGTTATAAATCTAATGTCGAAACAGAGGGAGAAAGTGCAAAGTTTATGTAGTTTGGGTAGAATAAAGTATACATCCACTTGTGCAATTCCAGACGCGCTCTCCTCCCCACCTGCCACAAGCTGAATGAATAATATCGAAAAAGACACAAACGTGACACAAAAACCAAGACTTCAATCCAGGCTAAAGGAAAAAAAACAGACAGTAAATTTCAAATCAGAGAACTCAATGACGTATCCAAGGGCAGTTTGGTCGTTCGAACATTTCTTCAAACATTCCAAAACTTACGTCTAAGACTATCAATATTCCTGATGGCAATTTTCTCTATGCAGTAAACAGAAGTCAGATCTATCTTCCACCATGGATTTGACTCTGCATCTGAGAAAAATAATGGCAAATGGTTACCAGCAGAACTACAGTACATGTTTAGTTAAAAAAATATTTATCTCCAAACAGTAATTTGTTTCATTGGAAAAGAGCAGCATATTTTTCCGCAAATTGAGGAGAAAGAACTTCGGTAATGAGCGTTCTTGGAAATAATAGGAGAGGTGAAATGGAGATTGTTACGACTCAAGAGGGACACCATTCCTAAATAATATTGTGTTTAGCAAATACAGGTGGGGCAGCCAAGAAAAATGACATTATTCAGTATGTACAATCCTTTTTTTAGTGACTTGATACATATGTTCGGACAAAATTCGTAGGTAACTGGGTGGAGCTTGGCTGCTTGAATTCGTGTTTTTTCTTTTATATTTTTTTCCTGTTTAGTTTTGAACAAACTGACGCCCTTGTACATGACGGTTTTTCGTCCATAAGTCACATGGTTAATGATTAAAAGCCAAGCAGCTAAGATAACATTGAAAGTCCCCTTCAAATGTTCAAAATGATTTGCCCAGACAAGTGAGAGACAGGGTACGTACACTAAGTTGTCAATGGTAATGCAGGTTTTAACACACAGGGATTTGATTTCCGCTGATTGAGTTACAAAATAGACCGCTGAGGTTACTTGGCTCCCGGTGGGAATTATTCCATCCTAACAATATCTATATATCTGTATGTGGAGTTTTAATTCGCCATATCGCAATATAAATATGTCACATAAAATGGGATCTTTACATTAGCGACATATTTGTTTAAATGTTATTTAAGTGGTTCTTTATCTGTAATCATTGATGTTTGCAGTCCTCAATGTACTTGTCCTTGCTTTACTTATTATAATGAATAATTATTAATATTGCAGGACTAGGAAGCCAATTTCCAGCTGTTTGGGAATACCTTGGTACATAGAATATCAACTAATCTTTACGTAACGATTACACTTACCAGTTCGACTACAGGAGGAGCTATCGTACTTCAATGATCCATCCACGGCTCTCTCGGAATCCCACGTAATGACGCCGTCATTACGTGTTGAGCTTTGGTCACTAGGATGACCAGCCAAATTCAGGGCTTCAAGTTTTGTTGCATGCAAAAGAAAAACATTTAACGTTTAGAAGCAAACTTCACTTTGATTTCGCGACAAATTAACATGCGTGCATCAATGTTATTCAATATGTTTGCATAAACCTTTTCTTTCATGATCTGTATCACAAATGTTCCGAATTTGTAACCAAAGGGCAAGTTCAGATCGGCCACTTTCATGGATATTTCCCCTTACCAGTTAAGTGTAATATGAAATACACAAGAGGCAGTGTGGTGCTACAAACAACAATTAAAAAGAAATAAAAAAACGACAATGACAGTATAAAAACATTTATTTGGCCAAAAACAGGGTTTTTTTGGCCCATCTCACATGGCGGATTCCGCCCCTCCCCCGCCCCAGCAATCAGCTGTGCCCCGTAAGATTGTTTTGAAAGTTCACATGCATGTAAAAACACTCCTTATCATTACAAAAGTGAAGTCTGAACTTCTTGTTACAGTCATTTGAAGTTCAAGGCTACATTCGTGGCTCCTGTGCACTGAGAACTGCAGTGGAAAAGTATAACCGCGGGTTTCTGAACGGGTTTCTGAAGCTTTCTTACTTTCAGCCTCTATTGTCACTTTGGAAACAAATTATTCGAACAACAAGGTGGCATGACTTTTATCCATAATTGGAATTACCCACCACCGAACAAGCATGTTCGGCAATATTTTCCCATGTTGCATCATCTCTTTTCAAACGGAGGATGCAGTTTTCAGAAATACTTATACAGGGATCTTCTCGCTTTCGATTGTCGCTGACTCCACATCTGAAACTCCGTGGTATCTCAGTGCGCTCCTTTTGTCCAAAATTTACAGATCCGCATAAGTTTAATTTTCACGAACTGTAATTGAACATTGCTGGACGCATTCAGTGCGGTTTTGCTTTCACTTAATGAAGCTTTTCTGAATTTCCATAGTTAAAATGTTTCTCGGTACAATTCGTCTTAAACCTCATAATTAAATGGATGGAGTAAATTTACGCAAAACTAGTCAGATTATTTTTTTTCTCGTAAGATGTACATATATCTGCTATATGCTTGTGTGTCAGTTCGCGAAAACCAAACTCATCAAGTGATAGCGGTGCATGTGCACAGCCAGGTGTCAGTTCCTGAAACCAACATTACGTATTACGCAGTTTTCCAGAAGTGTCTACTCACAGTACTTGCGTTTCAATTAGTGAAAACGATGGCAACTGAACGAGGTAGTGTCATATATTATTTTACCCACCTGTTCGTGTGGCATCCTTCATTGTATCCATAGTGACTTCTTCCACCATGACTTCAGCCAATTGGACTATGATTTGTGGACCACTGTCAGGGATATCTACACTAACGTATCGTGCAGTGACGTACGGCTCCGGAGTGAAATCCACAACTGCTCCACGTTTAGCCTGGTTTTCTCTAACCCGTCCTATCTCCGGGTTACGTAGATGGTACGAATTCATTCCAGCGCGAATTACATTGTTGGAGAGCCGAGCAACTGCAACAGACAAGAAATAAAAGTACGTAGGGTCTACATGTACTAAGAAATGTGGCGCGGGTAGGTTACCCGCCTTCGTTTACTAACTGAATTCGGTGAAATTTTTCTCTAAATATGCAATGAAGGACTTTTTGTGTAGTAGAAAAGCTGCTAAATTACTACGTTGTGATGGCAAACAATAATTCTAGATTGTGTGCTAAATATTAGGCGAGGTGCAAAACAGTCTATAGGCTTCCGACATGTAGGCCAACTTGCAGATCAGTGATCCGTTTAGCCGTTGCGGGCTTTCTATTTTCTGTCAGCTTCGCCTCGTTCTAGTACATAATAGTGTGTCGACTATCCGGAAATACACTTCATGACATTCTTTTGCGCGCTCAACTTCGCTAGCCTAAGATACAAACTGCAGTAGCAATTAAGAATGCACAACTTACTGATGGCACGGGATTTACTGTGCTCGTGCCTCTATCGAAAGAGCAATTTTCATTACTTGAAAATACTTTTGATGTACAATAATAAAGACAGCGGTCAAAGCAGCCCATCGTGTTGAGGTTTTCTATACGACTTTTGTCGTAAACGTTCAAAACAAAACAAAGGATGTTTCACTCTAATCCCCTAACTATTTCCAATGTGATATACAAATCAATTCAGAATACTTGCCAACTATGTCACGATCACTTAACGTATTGACCAGGGTGATTTTCCTCAAGCAATAGACAGCACCAAGGTCCACTTTCCACCAAGGGTTCGTTAGTTCGTCCTCATTGTCAAAGCCTGTGGGAATGAATACAAAGACCTAAACGCCTATTATTTATCAGAGTGTCATTTTCATCATGAGGAATGGGGTTAGGTTAGGTATTGGCAGAGGTAGTTGCCGGATTATATGAGAAATATCAGGTGGTCCTCATGTCACTCTACTCTCATCTGTTCCTCAAAGTAAATGGATGTACGCTTCTGCAACCGCATCCCAGCGACCGTCTTAACCCGCTGGTCAGCCCCGTGTCCCATTCCGTCGAGCGTGTACTTTTTATCCAATAAAATAGAGGGCTACATTAGTGAAAATATGCACGCTGTGGAGAAAATTTTTTGTGACCAAAACTCCGTCTCGAACTTCCCAGCAGATATTCTCCCCTTAATTAACGAGAAAAAAACTTCCCCTGGGCTACCTGCCCTAAGCTCTCCTTCCAGTATTGAGCAGTCTGCACGTCAACAAATTAGACACGTATATGTTTCCTAATACTCAGTGGTTAATGAATAGCCCATAGGCAAATGCAATTCTAGGGTGGGGGGATGATTTTTTTCTAAAAACTGTCCGACATTTTTATCCGTAAAATAATTCTCCTTCGCAATCTCCCGACAGTACTGTCGTGTTGAAAGGTATCTTTGAACGAGAATAATAATGTGTTTGGCCCGTCTCAAACTAACGTTTTAAGATTCACATGGTGACGTCATCGGGAGATGACTCGCGCAGTGTCTGTTCTGTGACTGTCTGTGTCTTGACGGTTTGTGTGCAGTCGACGTTCGTTACGATCATATGGGAACTATGGCTGTACAGTTTTCTGCAAACCACAACCTGTGCACAAGTGGCATCTTACACGAGGCAAAACCAAAAATTTCCAGGAGTGTTGCAAACATGGTCGGTATTTTCACCAATAAGAGCATGAACGACAGACAAGAAGCACCATCAAAACACCTGTGGATACTCAACCTCTGATCTATCTAGTAAACTGTAACAGGCGGTGTTCCACCGATTGTTCAGAGGAAGAGGAATCATGCACAACAAGCACCAAATTGTGAATCGTTATTTACCCGTGCACCTTTCCGACGTAATTTGCCGTTTGATAATAACGACAGACTGACTTACTTTCCTTGACAACTTCAGAAAGGTCAAAAGACTCTAAAAATGCACATTTCAATTCAGTGCCGTAGACTCAAAAATTATCAACAACGTCTGCTCCTGGTTTACACTGTTACTGAAACGGCTTTAAAATGGCGTTATGACAGAAATTATTAATGATGACTTCACATTACTTCGAACTGTAACATTGTGTTTTTTCTCGAGTTTTATTATTACTTATTTATTATTAAGTATTTCCGGTGCTAGAACCATTCATTCCTCCAAAGCGCCCAAGACACATGCAGTTTGCAAGCCTGAAGAAACTTGTACAGAAGAGAGACTGCATGAGAAACAGTCGCAGTGTTAGAGACAGGGTACTCTCGTGTTGTTTCACCCAGGGTATTCGCTATGTCTTTTATAACCTTAATTATGACCGCCATATTTTCACTTCGGTACTGTGTGGTTGTGGCTCTAGTGGTTGGGTACTGTACCTCCCACACAAAACCCCGAGCATCTTCTGCAATTTCAACTTGAAGTTATTAGTCGATGTTTTCCTGATAATCACGAATTAATGATTAATTTCTAATGTACGCGGACTCGACGACAAGGTAGGAAACCTGACGACTTTTGCTGTAAGCTGCAGAAAATTCAGTTAGTTAACCGTCCTACAAGAGTTAACTTGTGTTTGTTGTACTTGAGTTATCAGTGATATACCACTCCTAACACAATGGATGTCACTCATTACTCCCTTGGCTTAGTTGATCATCGTATGGTTTTAATATTCCAAAACGGGTCTCAAATATTAGAATTAAAAAAACATTAACTGATGAATCATAATTGAGATGCCAGGCTATGATGGTTCTGAAGGTGCATTGACGTCAATATTCACGCCCAAAATTCACTTCATGCCTGTCCCAAGTCTCGAAGTGTGACGTCAATATTCATGTCCAATTCATGACTTGACATAACTTGCCGAAGTAAGATGATAACTTGCCAAAGTAAGAGGATAACAGCCGAAGTAAGACGATAACTTGCCGACGCAAGAAGATAACTTGCCGAAGTAAGATGATAACTTGCCGAAGTAAGATGATAACTTGCCGAAGCAAGACGTTAATTGTCATAAGGTATGATGACCACTACAGCACTTGCCGTCAGGACACGGTGAGTAAAGGATCTTTTTTTCGCCGTTTGTACTATATCTCATCCTGCTTTACGGGTACATTTGCACTTGGGTGTAGAGTAAAAACGGTGAAAAATAGATCCTCAATATTAATTCACGGTAAGAGATGTCCTGACCGTGGCAAGTATCCTTGTGGTCACAAGTATGTTTTGACAACGACCAATATACTTTTAAGCGGCAAGTTATTATCTTCCTTCGGCAACTTACTGAAAGACATATGCCTCCTTGCGAAACACACATCACAAAAGGAAATGACACCAATGAGGCTTCGTAACTCGCTCTAAAGGTTAAGAATATCGACGTTGATATTTGGTTCCTAAATTCGCGACTTAATTTCCTTGATACAAATATTATTGACAATTAATTCCACAAAGCTAGGCGTGACGTGAGACCTGTATTAGATGTAAAGATTTTTTAATGATTTATTTTTTTATTCCCTATTTCTCTCACACTGAAAAGATAGATTTAATACGTTTTCGGTATAACACTCCTGCTTTCAAAAGAAACGTGTTGTTACAAAGTTATCCAGGCTATTTTTGAGCTACAAATCACAAATTAAAGGAAATATCTGGCAATGAATAGCAGGAATCAATTTCAAAGGAAAAGGGATCATTTGGACTTTTTGGGGGGAAAGGCTGGAAAGAACAATAATAAAGTGAGACGGTGGTCTACGCAAATATTTGAAGGGCAAATCAAGCAAATGTTTCTCAGCATGGGCGAAAATCCCAGGGGGTGGGATATATATTTCCCACACTTTTTGAGGTGGGGGTGGGCTATTGAATCATCCCCCACTTTTTTTGACGAGCAAAATCATTTTCAGGATTTCCCAACGACTAAAATATTTGCAATATCACTAAAAAGGAAAAACAGTTTTTAAAAGCCATAAAGATTTTGATGCAAGATTCTGCATGAATTTGATTCTAGATGTACATCTTTATCATGAACATCGCCCCCTATATGGTGTATATGGTGCCGCTCCCGCTCCCCCCCCCTCGCCTTGGTCAGTCAAGTCACACCCCTCCACACACACACCTTTCCCCACCACATATTTACGCCACTGTTTCTGAGGATAATTGTTCGCCGTTTTTGAAACCTTAATGATCTTTTCATTGTAACTTCCCACTTGGCCTAAATTGGGGAGGCTGACAGAAATGATGTTCCCATTAGATTAGAGACCCCCTGGTCGGGGCACCTTCTTCTTGTGTCTTGAATCTTGACTTGGTTTCTGGAGTAGCCGTTCCGTTGCTGCAGTGATGTGGGTCAACTCCGATGGCAGATGCTTATCGCAAATTTACCGTTGGGTATGGGGACATTATTTACGTGGAGAAGGACAATAGTAACAATACCTTGGTAAATGTGTCCACTGGGCCCCTTAACCGGGGTGCAATCCAGTAAAAGTGTCCGGGGACAGATTGGGGGGGGGGACATGTTTACCTTTTACACCACTGTCAACCAAATTCATCCACAGCATCAAAAAGGCATTGCTTGTCCAAATGTTTGTTTTCATATAGGCCCTATATGATGTTCACGATATAATTAGCTGTTAAAAGCACGCATGTCGGACGCAATAGGAGGGAAGCATTTAATGTGGGTAAGTTTGGAGTAACACAGAAGATTTCACCCAAACCAAATAGCGCCCTCTTATTGTGTCTGCCACACCTCAAACAGAATGATGAAATAACACTCAAATAGGCTAATGAACTTACCTGTGTGTGAAATGGTACCGAGGTTTCGGTCCACGGCGAATCCTGCGTCCAGAGGGTCAGGATCATGCACAGAACTCTGCGTCGTTGTGACTGCACTGCCCCGCAAGTCAAGAGATAATGCTGTGTATTTAGATATGATTGGCAGGAACGTAATATCAATTAATGTTACTCCAGTCTAAAGTAGTCCTTGGTCAGATAGCAGGATTTTTTCCCAGGCTTTATGCAGACGCCTTTCTTGGTTCGGCCATCGTCGGGATGTCAATTGGGTTCAGTTTCCTTCTCTATATTGGTCTATGGCTGCTTGGTGGACGTGCCCAAGTGTCAATCGTCGGGGTCACCCAATGATACCACAAAACTGTACATTTCGGACTGACATACTTCAATTTTGCTAAAAAATCTTCTCAATACCTTCAAATCATCAGATATGCATTAAAATGACACTGTAATCAATTATTTTAGTGCAACCCTTTAAATTTTACTCGTGTGTCGATGAACCTTACTTTCAAGTTTTATTTGCTATTATAAAATGTTTTCTCAGAGCCTATTTGGTTTTCAAACTAATGTATTGCATATCAGCAGAAATGTGAACGTCATCCCTGGTATCGACCTCAATGTTGCATTGATTTGTGCACAAACACTAAACCTTTTTATATTTTGCGTTGGCAACTTACGGTTGTGTAAGCGTATTGAAATTAATAAAAAAAAATTGTTTGGAACCTTTTCTCAGAAACTTTTCATAGGGAAAATTTGGGGTTCAAAGTTCAATTTCATTGAAATCAGAACAGGAGTATCTCACAGTGTCTATAGGCATCACGCTTCTAAATTGTATTAGAGTTTGCACTGCTGTGTGGTTGGTTTTCTTGTCAAACAGTTAACTTAGGCAATAGTAGTAGCCACTGTTTTCAAAACATTGCTAGTGGAAGAGTTTGAATTAAATGGTGTGCTATTTTTTCACTCTTTTCACCGTGAAGGAGTGTTTTGTTCGGTCAGGTGCCTTGCACAATGTAGCCAATAGAGCCTGAAAGTTGATCCCCGGTGACGCGCTTCCGGAACAATTGGAGTAGCATTACGAACGAGTAAAAGTTTCAGAATTAGTAATATTTTTTTTTCGTTTAGTTCCTTCTTTAACTCTCAAAGTGTAAAAAGGCCTTTTGTAAAATATTTGCTAGCATATCAACTCATAGAAACTGAAAAATTACCTGACCTAAAAGAGAAATATCCTGCCAAAAATCGACCTATCACTTCCGAAACTATAAAATACATGAACAACAGTCGGATTATGTTACCGAATTCTACTCCGTGGTAGTCCTTTGGTAATGGCTAAAATGGAAAACAGACCAAAATATTCTAAAGAATTCGTCATTTATAAGGAAATAAACTCGCAAAAACAGGGAGACCTAGGAACGATATTGCCGGAATTAAAAGGTCATTTCTACCTTGTGAAAATACACATATTATTCTTTCTGCCAGAATCACTAATTTTAAATGTTTCTTCTCATTCTTTTAATTTCCTTTGAAGAATTTCCCTTTTAGTCAGCGACAGCTTCTACGTGTTTTACTTTTGTCGATTTTCTGCACCATGTTAATCGTACCATCTCCACTTTTTCAACAGCTCACTGAACAGTCTTACTTAATACTCTCTCCTTGTTAATGTTATGCTAGAGATAGGCGTTATAATGCCAGTTTACCGTGTACGAAACAAGTGCACACTGCCGGCCGCTCCGAATCAAATACGACACAATTCTCTGTCATTTATACTTGGGGCATTCTTGAGTATCTGGCATCTGGGATGACACACATTTTACAAGGGGAACTACGAGCAGATGAATTGCAGCTTAAACCCACGAGTATCTTTTGTTCGTTTTAAGATTTCAAAAACTGTTTGCATGGAGGTAGTTCAAGGTTGCACTACACACCATAAACTTTGAATTAAAGTATGCAGTCCTCTCGACACTCTTCAGTTTTGGACGTGAGGCTATGGTTTAAATTACCGTAGTGAATCTTCATAAAATCTCTGCTTTCGATAGGCCTAAACACTGCTTTATAGGCCATGCTACAACAGATGTAAATGTTATGATAAGCACAAATACATACTTTCACTTTACCTTTGAGCAGGTTGGAGACGAAGACGATCATTAAAGTGCCACGGTGGTTCCTGGATAACATGGCTTCGTGTTACCGGCGCCAAAGTATAAATTTCAGTATAAAATATTGGCCAAGAAAACACGAGAACAGGTGCGAGTGATGTACCAAAGTTCAGTTCCCAGCTCTACAGCTCAACTCAGCCTGTTCAACTACACGTACGTGTGTCTTGACTCCTGGCATCCACAAACAAGAACTCTTCCTTCTGCTGTGCGTTTAAAAACGAAAGCTGAAACTGATGTTTCGACTTCGGTTTTACATAGACTTCCTTGTCAGTACAAACACGCATGCCAAAACCAACCCTGTTGAGAAAGCCTGTAACTCTACAGGAAACAAAAGCAAGTTCTAGTTCAGAGTTCGCTTGCCGCCCAGCGCCCACACGGAGAGGGCGCTGGGACAGGCAAATCAGTATGGTATCCATGTGCTCGCGCAAAATGGCGACACCTGTCAAACTTGCGAACGAAACTTGGCGTGGGGTGTGTGGAATATCTGCCATTCCTGTGTGAAAGCTCAGTTTTATACGTCGGTCAGCGAGCAGTCCGGGGATCGGGACCGAACAAGTGAAATATGCCCGTCAAGTACTGGTTCTGAACGGGAAAAAAATCCGTACTTTTGCTGACATTGCATTAATTAACGGTTTACAGTTGCGTCAATTGCCTACGGCGGAAAAGCAAAAGGAGGTGATGACCTCATGGTCTCAGGTCGTACAAAATTTAGTGAATGAGGGCTCAGAGCGATTTGCCCTTCACAGCGCCCTGTGTGAGTGCTGAACGACGAGTGAAGGGTTCAGAGTTTCAAATCTGAGATCGAAAAATAAAACAATTATAACTCCATTGTAGTGAAATGATGTTTCACACTTGGACTATATGATAGCTCAAGGCGGATCCTACTTCATAAGCCAATGCAAAAACAAAGGTGAAACTACTGTGAAATGATTGAGCTCCATATCGCTCACGGAATTTTTTCCTCCTGTTTGCTTCTCTTTTCTCCAAGTGTTGGTTATAGATCCTACTTTCATTAATTTAACAACAAATTCCGCTGCAGTTTTCATGTGAACAGTGTTGCCAGACATTTTGTTTCAGTCATTTCGTAAAAATTTCACCCTGAGCCTCCGAATAACTGAGGTTCTCTCATCGGTTTTGATTTCCTTCATTGACAATGTCATACACATGTACTTGTGTTCCTCTTATTCGCTTTTCTACAGGTTTCCGTTAGTGTCTTCCTGTTTACTGAAGAAACCTGCAGTCATTTCCTTCAAAGGCAAAAGAAAATATTGTTTCCCTCGTACTGCAGGTAAGTCGCCAGTATTGCGATACATGGTAGATCGTTCTATGCAAGACATCATGCATAAGCCGTAACCACCGTAGTTACTGTGTCATGATGTTTCCGAGACCGAGCTGCGCAACGAGGGGGGTGGAAGGGTAAAGCTTCAAAATCCATCTATAAAAACCACAAGCCCCACACTCAAAAATATCTTGCTACTCAACATTATGCTACTGGTTCGGTCATTGTTAACTGTTTGAAATGAGAAAGCCAGTGCAGATAGACATTTACATTCGTAAAATGGTTAATTTGTAAGGGCAGATCTAAAACCAAATTTTCGGGGGAGCCAAACTTGTTTGGGGCCCATTTATGGTGACTTTTAAATGCTTTCAACACGCTTTTATAGAAGTATAAAAAATAAAATAGACCTAAATTCGCTTTTTTGTGATCGTTTTCCAAATAAAATTTAAGGGTTCTTTCTTGTGGGGGGCCAGATCTTCCCTTGATTAACTCAGGCACTGAACAAAACATTCTGAGCGAGCAACAGGTTTTAACTCAATTGAAGCGCCGACACAATTGTATGAATATTTACCTTTCACATGTACCGCAAATCGCCGTTTAGAAAAATAGCCGGATAAATGCACGTCAGGACATTTATTAAAGTACATGGAAAAGAAACTGGATGGTATTTATTTTTATACATTTCATTTTTTTCCCATTTTGCTTTGAACACTTGGGATTGTGTAAGATTAATAAATGTATCGAGAGAAACAAATACCCTAAAACGTTCCCCTTACAGAAATAAAAATACAGTTCACAAGTTCATAATGAATCGTACATTTATTGTCATGTATAAACTTGTAACTTGTGCTACAATGTTTCTACGTTTTGCTTGAAACTGGTTCGTATATTATCCTCGAAAATATTTACAAATTTAAGGCATTTCAAAAAGTTTTGAAACATATAATTTCTGGAAATGTAGAATATCTAGGACTTTCACGGAAGTATTTTTCACTAAAAACTCAATAATTTTCAGGATGAATTTTGTCAAATATGAAGAGGGGATTTGAAAGTTGGCTTCATGTTAACGCAGCCAATAACAATTGCGTCGTTCAACTTCAAAGAATAATGGCTCACTTGTTATTCGCAGAGAACTTGTCGTTCGTGATTAACGCTACTTCGTGCCAAAGTAGTGGCAGGCAACTGGTCAGCCAGGAGCTCTATACCAAGGGGCAGCAAAGAAGGCTGGACTTGAAAGGCATTGTCTAACATTACGTCCATGAACACTACATACGAAAATACATCCACTTTGTGTAGTTTTATACCACTGATCGATCCAAGCTACAGATGTATGCAAATTAACATTAAAACAAAACTCGAATACTGTTTAATTTTTCTTACAAAAATAACACTTTGATTGAACGCATACACTTTTGGCGATTACAGAGAATCTGAATATACAGGTGCACAAAATAAGAATACTGTAAAAGCAACCAAAACCAAAAAGAACAATGAATATTAAGAGAAGCCTACAGTTAATTTTTCTTGGAATCAAAGTAGATATATCACCGACTATTGTTTAGCGAAATTCAACCCATGGCACTCTGTATGAATTTACTGTCCAATACTCTTGCTTTTGAGCTTTTTCCCTCCTAACCAGATCAATATGAGACAGTGAATTTGGAAGTCGAAAAGTAAATAACGAAAATAATGACAAAAATGTAAAAGATGGCTTTTTGGTGTCAAAATGATTAACATCATATGAATATTCAAGTTTAATTGAATAAATTTGGATATTCAATTTATATAAATATTCATGCTGGAATGATTATCTTATATGGCAGTGACAGCGCTGACTGATTTTTGCAAAGCAAGGATAATATACAGAGTCGTGCTTTTTACATCAAGGCTTTACTTCTCATATTAGCTAGTGCTTTACTCATCAAATTAATTCTACATGTACAAAGACGCGGTCAATCAGTACGAATGTTTCCAGTGATAGCTA